TATTATTGATATTATCATAGTTTGTATCAGTATGTGAATTATTATCGTTATGATTATCTGCGTTGAAATTGTTGGTTGATGTACCATCTTCGTCATTAATAATACGACGTAAAGTAGTGGTAGCGTCTGGAGAATGATTATCAGTGGTCGTGATGTTGATGTCAATGTTATTTCCGTAATTATAAGAAGTATACTGATGTGAAGGAAGGTGACGCTGCCCCTTGTTGTGAACTGACACTTGTTATGTTAGACTTGGTCGGGTATTTTTTTTGTTCCCGAAAAATAAATGTTTTATAGTTTAAATCTTTTACTGCCCCTTGTTGTGAGCTGACACTTGGTATGTTAGACTTGGTCGGGTATTTTTTTTGTTCCCGAAAAATAAATTTTTTATGGTTTAAATCTTTTACATTTTTTGGCTTATTCTTATAATTGGGATATATATGCTTATGATTCTCATAAGCTATTTTCTCCAGTGTTTTGAATAAATGCTTAACTTCACTTGGTTGCGATTTCCACTCTAAACTGCATTCCTTTGCAGTATGTTTAACTTCTTGTTTGACGTCAGGACTGCGTCGACGTAAATTAGCTTCATAGTCTTTCCGAAAAATGATCCAACTGTTTTGTGTTCGTGGTGGTTTATCAGAATTATCGCGGTTTTTCTTGGCAGGTTTTGTTAATTCTTCAATCGAAAGAGTTAGTTGGTAAGGAGGTTTATTTATAAGTTGACGTTCTGTTTCTGTTAAATATTCGTTATTATTCATTTTGTATTTTTCTCTTTTTTTGAAGGAAAGAATGATTGATGTGGTAGAAAACATCGTTTATTTATACAAGTAAATTAATAGTTGTGGTGAATGATAAAAAATTACACGCGAATTCCGTATCGGTATTAAAAAAAGAAATTACCATTTTAGGCGCTACTTGACGTTTTGGTTTATGCATGGTTTATCGTAGTGATATGGGTCACCATATTTTTATCGACCAGCCCGGTTATTATAATTTTATCAACCAGGTTGGCCGGGCCAGT